GTTGCCTTCAAAGGTGATTATGGATTTCGCCTGGAAGGAGCAATTTAGTATTTTACAAACACAGTAGTAACAATATTGAAACATTCACTAATTTGTTGTTCGCTTAATTGTTATTCAATAATATATTAATGATAAGTTAGTTATTTAAAACAAATAATAATTTTTACACTTGACAATACTATGTCATCAAATTAGTAAAACATTTTTGTCAATTACGACGGTCGGAGATTTTTTCTTTTTTTGTTGCTTAGATGGATAAGTGAATTCACGGTCCGCCTGATGCTAAGTCGATACCGGAGCTCATAGACGCAACCGTCACTACCGAAGGGTACCATACACCCGGAGACACAAATACTCAAATTTTTTAAGTTTTATTGCTAGATGGATGGACGAGCTCATGGCCCAGCTCATGTTATGTGGTTACCGGAGCCTATAGACATCTAAAACGTAAGTGCCGCCATCCACCTTGAGACATGAGTTCTAAGGTTCTCACTTTTAACTACGGCTGCCCCGCCCCTCAAACCGAAACGCATTACTGCTTCACGGCAGAAATAAGCAGGGTGGTGGTAGCTACCCGTGCGGACTCACAAGACGTCCTAACATAATAGTTATTGTGTAACTGTAGCTCCCTTCAAATCGGAACACAAGACTATTTCGCGACTTCGCAAATTGAATGTCGTTAAGATTCTCGCTGGTGCCATTTTACTCATCATTATAAACTACACTAACATTTTTTTAAACACCTACAACTAAAAAGCTCTCTCCGTTACCATTTTTCAGAATTCGAAGCGCGCTTTTTTTTGGTCATTTGGCAATCAATCCTCCCGCTAATGTAAATTGTAACCTTTTCCAAATTGATTAATATTGTAACGTTAGCGTCGGTCCTGTTCGTGTATTCGAATTTTAAAAGGTGCTCATGTAGACTCAACGACAAATCTACGTGGACCTCATGCCTCATGTGACGGCGACGGCATTCACTTTATGGTTCCGTTTACTATCCGTACGTTAGCAAAAGCATCTAACCTTAACCCCGTCCGGTTTAACCTCCTCAAACTCCACGCCGGGTGTGAACGTTATCGTATAGCTGGTGACTGATGATGTGAAATCGAAACTGTAAGTTCCGTCATGGTTCTTCCTCAGAGATTGAACGGGTCTCAAGTTGATAGCCACTTTCCTTGCGAAGTATCCGATACCTGAGGAATAGCGTTTTTTTATTCACGGTACGGCTTTTTCTTTTTTCATATTAACTAAGACAAATATTTGAATACTTGTTAAAAGTGTTTTTGGAACTATGTTCTTTGAAATAAATCATATTGAAATTCACGGAAGTGTCACTAATGTTGATACTAAAGAATGATCAATCTGAAATTATAAAGGAATCTTTGAACTGCGGTCATTCACAGTGCGTTTCCAGAGGTCTTTTTTGACACGTACCATCCGGCTATGGAATGAGCTCCCCTCCACGGTTTTTCCCGAGCGCTATGACATGTCCTTCTTCAAACGAGGCTTGTGGAGAGTATTAAGCGGTAGCCATGGCTTGGCTCTGCCCCTGGCATTGCTGAAGTCCATGGGCGACGGTAACCACTCACCATCAGGTGGGCCGTGCGCTCGTCTGCCTACAGGGGCAATAAAAAATAAAAATAAAATAAAAACACGTATGAAGCACACAGCAGCTAACTGAATTGCCGTTCAAGCGATAATAACCGGTAACAAAAACTTACCGATAAACGTTAAATAGTCGTCGAAATTCTCCGATTCGACCAGAACGTATTTTAATTCAAGAAATTCGTCCATTATACAATAAAATGTATATTAAACATAAACGCGGACATTGACAATCGACAGAATGATATTGTGTTTTTATCTAGTACCTGCCAGTGGTATATCATGCTGATAAGATCTCGTCTATTATCAGTTTAGAACGCGCAGTGTAACAACACCGTGTTTACATTTAACTCTAGCAAAATTAGGTAAACAATCTTAAATAGTTGACCTATAATTATTTTTTCTATTATTTAGCTTGCCAATTACGTTTATATTGCGTGATGAATTTTTTTTTGTCAAACAGATATTTGAACGTTAGTACCGGCGCTCACTTTGAATTGAATCCACTCAGAGCACGCTTGCCCGAAAATTAATTATCATCAAAACTGATTTAACAGTTTAAAATTCAACACCTTAATAAAAGTGGAGGTGACTCTAATTCCACTTGCAAGATTTGACTTAAGCAAACGTATACACGAAACATTGGAAGCTTAAACTTGTAATAATATTGCGCTCAAAGCCCTCCGGTGTTATTGATGTGAGAGTCAACTCTAGTGATTTCAGTTTTTCTGATATCTGGTATCACACTGTGTATAATTTGGTCCAAGTGCATATGGTTGGTGAACTTATTAGCGAATTGTTTTTTTTATTGTTTAGATCTTTTTTTTATTTTATTTTTTTTGCTAGATAGGTGGTCAAGCTCACAGTTCTACCTGGAGTATCTGGTGTTAAGTGGTTACTGGAGCCCATAGACATCTACAACGTAAATGCGCCACCCATCTTGAGATATAACTTCTAAGGTCTCAGTATAGTTACAACGGCTGTCCCACCCTTGAAACCGAAACGCATTATTGCTTCACGTCAGAAATAGGCAGGGTGGTGGTACCTACCCGTGCGGACTCACAAGAGGTCCTACCACCAGTAAAAAATTACCAGTTTATTCACGGGTGAACAAGCTCACGAATCCACTTGGTGTTAAATTTCAGTTATACAGTTAAACAATTGCCCCACTCTTCGAACCAGGTAGGCAGGATGGTGGTACCTACGCGTGCAAGCTAGCAAGACGCTCTGCCGTTCAAAGATTCGTATTAAAGTGTTGTCTCCTAAAAAAAACTTTAAAATCCAGAATCAACAACTTTAAGCTTATATGAAACAAAAAAACTCGTAATACTCAAGCATTCCACACAATACAAAAGTACGAAAGCACGTATAGACCGTCTATGTATTTTGCGTCCCCTACAAAGAAGTAAAGTTTAATATAGGAAAGCTTTTCAGTGGAATGTCGCGTCACGTTGAAGTAGGCCCGAATGAGATGCTCGAGGTGACATCGCGAGAGGGGACCGTTTCAATACTTTCATTAGAGCGACTGCGTTCGCGTCGAACCCGCGGACTCTGCCCCGCAATCAGCGTAATGGCGCCATTGTCCTATTCTGCCGCCATCTTGTGACGTAACTAGAGTCAGTCACATAGATACATTTCGTATCTATACTTGTACATAGATTTTATTTTACTGTAATAAAGGAAGTGCCTATTGATGAGCTCACGGGTGCCTTTTGTCAAATTGTTTTCGTGGCTCGTAGACATCAAGGACATTGAAGGGTGGGGCAGCCGTTGTAACTATACTGGAGACCTTAGAACTTATATCTCAAGGCGGGTGGTGCATTTACGTTGTAGATGTCTATGGGCTCCAGTAACCACTTAACTCCAGTTGGGCTGTGAGCTCGTCCAAACATCAAAGCAATAAAAAAAACAATGTTTTTTTTGTGTTCATTTCCTCATGACAAAGTCGAAATTTCAATTGTATTATATGACGACCGTTCCACCATTCAAATATAAGCCCATGAAGTCTTCTTGGCAGAAATTAAAATAACATATCGGTTGGATAGCGAAAAGTTTCGACCAACTCCTTAAGAAACTTTCGTTATCCAGCTGGATTAACGAGAGGCCTGGTACAGAAAGCAGTTATAATTGATACGGCGCGTATTGCGAGGTTTCTCACTCTGGAGCTTTAAACATTAGTAGTTAGTGTCGTAGACATCGCCAATCATTTTTTTAATTGTATTGTAGTCCTTCTTTGTTATTGTAAATTTAATAAGATTTTAATAAATATAATATACATATAGTAACACACGCACGGTCATCTGGCCCCACACTAGGGCTCCCTGTACTATTAAGCGGTAGGCAGCGGCTTGGCTCTGCCCCTGGCGTTGCTGAAGTCCATGGGCGACGGTAACCACTCACCATCAGGTGGGCCGTATGCTCGTCTGCCTACAAAGGCAATAAAAAAAAAAGGTACGAAAGACATACATACTTATATACCTTTAAATAAGTAAATAACCAAAATTTTACCGATATTACATTTCATCCCAACTCATTTAAATTTAATTTAATTTCATGCCAATTCGATTAATGTTTCAAATTAACTTAACATTTCATTTCGCTCCGTATTCTTTTTTTCATGAACACGATTATATTGAAACATAATATATAGATAATACACCCCCAGACAATGAGCAAACAGGATGGTGGAAGGTACTATACTATCACTATCAGGCACTATCACCAGAAATGCCAATGGGCGATCGTAGTGCGCCAGTATGATACGCTTTTGCTCATTATCCTGTGAATCTGAGACCTGTAATTTTTATTACTGTTGGTAGAACGACTTGTGAGTCTGCACGGTTAGGCACCACAACCCTGCCTATTTCTGCCGTGAAGCAGTAATGCCTTTCGGTTTGAAGGGCTGGGCAGCCGTTGTACTATTAAATGTGAGACCTTAGAACTCATGTCTCAAGGTGGGTGGCGGCATTGACGTTGTATTTTACAACACTCTCGGGAAGAGATGGGATGGTGCTATGCTAGATCGACATCACACAATCTTTGTCATTCCTTCATCGAAGAAGAAGTTGGAAACGATAGAACCTACCAGGTCTAGAGCTACGGTGTGCTAATTCCTTCCGTATTAGGTTGCATCTCACCTTATTTTCTAACTAAACCTTCCTGATAATACCTTGTATTTATCAATCTCAGAAAATCTTTCTATTTCCAAAGAAGCTTGACAGGCAATTGTTTTATTTTAAGCCGATTCAGATCTTTTTGGTTTTTTTTTGTTGGTATTCTTTTTAAAAAAAGAAACAGTCCGGATTACCGCTTTCATATTTTATGAAGGATTTAATTAATAATCATAAGACTCCAAACATCGCGTGCTGAACTACTTTATCTATTTTTATTTGCAGGTAAAAAAAGCATATACAGTTCACCGAAGAAGTCCGATAGTTCGCCCAGGCACTATGCAATGTCATCAGGCAGTCCTGGTGAGGAATGTTTTTTTTTTTTAATTTCCCTTTATAGGAAACGACCAGATGTAATCTATGGCAAGTACGTTTTTGAATACCGCGACATGTATGGTTTCGTCAAACCAAATAAATTATGTATTAATTATTTTTACGTAAAGTGTAAATTTATATTTATGCTATAGTAAAAAGTATATTAAGTATAAATAAGCCACCAACGACAGGCAGCGGCTTGGCTCTGCCCCTGGCATTGCTGAAGTCCATGGGCGACGGTAACCACTCACCATCAGGTGGATCGTGTGCTCGTCTGCCTACATCTATATCTATTCTATATATATAAAAATGAATTGCTGTTCGTTAGTCTCGCTAAAACTCGAGAACGGCTGGACCGATTTGGCTAATTTTGGTCTTGAATTATTTGTGGAAGTCCAAAGAAGGTTTAAAAGGTATATAAATATGAAAATGTTCGAAATTAAATAAACATAACAGTTTTGTTTTTCCATTGATGTGTATTAAGTTTTTTTTATACAAAAGTTTAGGTCTTTTATTTATCGATTGAGGCACTACGAAGTCTGCCGGATCAGCTAGTGGGAAATAAAAAAAAAGAACGCATAGTTTTAGAACAGGATAAACCCGAAGAGTAAACTCGCAAACATGCTATTCAGGATTAAGTATCTGACATAAAATCTTTGAAAAAATTTAATATAGATACAAATACCATAGGTACACACGGAGCTACCAGCATAGATGAAGAACAATCCCAAACCCGAAAGAAATACAAAGGTTAGTCAGTTATAGTACGATTTGAAAAAAAAATCGACAGATGAAAGGCTGTTTGATTTAAGCGACATTTTTGCAACTTTACAGAAGATCCATTTAAGGTTTAAAATTCAGAAAAAAATCCATGACCAAAAAAAACTATTATATGTGGTTAACGTAATTCAAGTTGAATTAAAAACATCGAATTTTTGATACTACTCGTAATCACTATATAGTATAAAACAAAGTCGCTTTCTCTGTCCCTATATCTGTCTGTCCCTATGTATGAAATATTTTTTGATTTGATTTGATTTGAGATGCTTAAATCTTTAAAACTACGCAACGGATTTTGATGCGGTTTTTCTTAATAGATAGAGTGATTGAAGAGGAAGGTTTATATGTATAATAACATCCATTAAACAGTGGAGAAATCAATAATAAATTACAGTTACCGAAGCGAAGCGAGGGCGGGTCGCTAGTACCAAATAAAACGGATCTTTAATTACAAAGTTAAATGTCGCGTATTAACCGAAATGTCGCTTAAACCAAATAGCCTTGCACTACTAAATTTACGCTAAAATAAATTTTACGGTTTATTCTCGCGTTTATTATTGGCATCATTAAGCGGTAGGCAGCGGCTTGGCTCTGCCCCTGGCATTGCTGAAGTCCATGGGCGACGGTAACCACTCACCATCAGGTGGGCCATATGATCGTCTGCCTACAAGGGCAATAAAAAAAAAAGCATCCTATTATTTCCAACTTCACGGATACTTTACAGTTTTGTGGTCACGAAGTACCTACTTAGGTATTATTCGTCGACATTTGAATATCAAAGCGCACCCATTGTTAAAGGGATACCAGAATTCATAGATATCACAATTTGAACACACTGACCATTCGCCATTACACTATTCACAACCTTTACTATCTTTTTTTTTTATTAACATGGGTGGACGAGCTCACTGCCCACCTGGTGTTAAGTAGTTACCGGTTGAGATATGAGTTCTAAGGTCTCAGTATAGTTACAACGTCTGCTCCACTTGTCAAACTGAAACGCATTACTGCTTCACGGCAGAAATAGGCAGGGTGGTGGTACCTACCCGTGCGGACTCACAAGACGTCCTACCACCACTAATTAAGCAAATTATAAATTTGCGGGTTTGATTTTTATTACAAAATGTTATTCCTTCACCGTGGAAGTCAATCGAGAACATTTGTTAAGTACGTATTTCATTACAAAAATTGCGGGATTCGAACACTGGTGCATCGCTAGATACGAATGCACCGGACGTCTTATCCTTTAGGCCACGACGACTTCAACTTTATTTACCTCCAGTAAATAAACAAGAACTAACTTGGAATATACAAATTACAAAAAGGTTTTTTTATTGTCTAGCTGAGAACATTACCAATATATCTGACTCTCCACGGTCTCCGTCTAACTCACAGAACCCGCCGAAACATGAACGGTATGTAGAATTTCTCATCAGTATGAGTCATATTTATATGTGTTTCTCTAATGTTTAGTTCATATTACAGCTGCCACAACTATATATACGCCGATAAGTAATTTTTCAAGTTTTTTTTTGCTTAACGGGTGAGTAAGCTCACCACTCACTTGGTGTTAAGAAGTTACCGAAGCTCATCTATAATGTAAATGCGCCACCCACGTTGAGATATAAGTTATAAGGTCTCAGTATAGTTACAACGGCTGCCCCACCTTTCAAACCGGAATGCACAACTGCCTCACGGCAGGAGTAGTATGTGTATAGTAGGTTGTTTTATAGATTAGATGGATGGACGAGCTCATAACCCACATGCTGTTAAGTGGTTACTTGAGCCCACGGTCATCAACCAATAAATACAGGCACCCACCTTGAGACATGAGTTCTAAATCTCAGTTCTATAGTACAACGATTGCCCCACCCTTCAAACCGGAACGCATTACTGCTTCACGGCAGAGATAAGCTGTAGGGTGGTTGGTACCTACTCGTGCGGGCTCACAAGACGTATTAAGTAGTAAGTATTCAATTAAAATTACTTCGATTGTGGGACATGACGTTTGCGTGCAACAAGATTTTATTTCATAATTGCCTTAGGCGCGAAATACGCAAAACTTTTTCATACAAAATGTACTAAGAAGACGTATTGTGAATTACACTCAAGTGGCGCGGCGCAGGCGAGCCTAGCAGTCACAACATTAATGAGTTACAGCAAAGCAAGCGCATCTTCGTCATCTCAAGAGGAAGACATGCTATCGCAACGAAATCAGCTTCTTTTTTTTTATTGCTTAGATGGGTGGACGAGCTCACAGCCCACCTGGTGTTAAGTGGTTACTGGAGCCCATAGACATCTACAATGTAAATGCGTCACCCACCTTGAGATATAAGTTCTAAGGTCTCAGTATAGTTACAGCGGCTGCCCGCCCTTCAAACCGAAACACATTACTGCTTCACGGCAGAAATAGGCAGGGTGGTGGTACCTACCCGTGCAGACTCACAAGACGTCCTACTAATTAAAATTATTAAAATTTAAATCGCGTCTTTGCCGTATCCGTTCGACGTGGTTCCACGCATCGATATATTCGATGGTTCCACGCCTTCGCCGTGCCAAAAGCTGCTTTCAGACTACGCTATATTAAAGTACCATATAGTATAGCAGCCTATATTCAGTCGATAATATATAGTACAGTACCGTGTGAACGTGTCCATAACAATGTATGGTGTGCGACATTGTTGTGCTATGAGCTATATACTATATCGTCGCTGTCAAACCAAAATCTGCTATGTGCAAAAACTCTTAATTTGAATTAACGAGTAAAAACAGTTTCGTATAAAATTTTATATGATGGTGAACTTTTAAGAACTATATCAAATGTAGCAGTTTTTTTATACGGTAGATAGAGCTGTGAACTATACAAAAAAGTCAAAAAGTAATAAATCTCAAAAAGTGCACATAGCAGGTTTTGGTTTGACAACGACGATATGCTATTATATTATAGCGTAATCTGAAGGCGGCTTTAAGCCTTACGCCGTTCGTGTGTATTTCGCGCCTTATGATAGTATGAAAAGACGTCAGACCAGTGCTATATTAGGGTTCCAGTCGTGTACTACGGTACCAGAACCCACAAACAGCTACAGCAGGTGATCAAAGAGTTCAAACGCACGGTCTACTGCAAGGAGATACGTATGTCGATACTGGCCGGCAGAGACCGCACCTGTCTAATGCCATTCGATCGTAAAGTCTGGAAAACCAAGGACGATATGTGCGCTGAGTGCATCAAAGTGAGTAAACAGATTGTTTTGTTTAATTATCAGTACTAAGCTTTAATATAGATTAGATTTCAGATATGGTTCTTACCCAGTAACAATTGCAACGTAATTAACGCCACCGACTGCAATTCGTATAAGATAAGCTAAGGTTAGGTAGGTTGAGTGAAAGAGTGCAGGGGAGTCGCTTAGTGTGGTAGGACCCTAAAAATCCTTGGGCTCGCGGTCTGCTCCTAACATCAGCAGATCGTAAAGTCCCACATAGCGCGCGCGCCCCAAGAGTCCTACCACCAGCGCGAGGTCCCCGCGCTGGTGGTAGGACTCTTGTGAGTCCGCGCGGGTGGGTACCACCACCCTGCCTATTTCTGCCGTGAAGCAGTAATGCGTTTCGGTTTGAAGGGTGGGGCAGCCGTCGTTACTATACTTGAGACCTTAGAACTTGTATCTCAAGGTGGGTGGCGCATTTACGTTGTGGATGTCTATGGGCTCCAGTAACCACTTAACACCAGGTGGGCTGTGAGCTCGTCCGCCCATCTAATCAATAAAAAAAACTATATTGCTATACTGCTTAAGTAGTGCCTTTTTTATCAACAAAGTTGGGCCGCAGAAGACCGAAACACGAGAGAACACAATGGCATTGCTGCCGAACGCCTAGTGAAGTGCTTTCCTACACTTATAACTGTTAAATTAAGGGGAGATGGAGATCTACAGGCGTCTAATAGTTAGTTATATCGAAATGCAGACAAGCGACCTGGCTGTACCCCTGGCATTGCTGACGTCCAGAAAAAGACATCATCAACCTGTATCTCTATTGCTGAATGTAAACCTCTCCCATAGCCCGCCACAATGAACCGGCCTTTATAATTTTGAAATTGTCACGAAAACTTGCCCCATTTTCTTCCAGACCAAATCAAGTCTGATGAATGCGTCATCACCGCAAACGTCAAGCTGCAAATTCTACGACAACCGAATGTCG